TCTGTACATTAAAAAAGCAGTTAATTATTCTAATCATCTAATGTCAAACCTTAACTTTTTATCTACATACACTAGATAGAATATAGAAGAGACATAGTATATTGAGAATTACTTTATCTTTACTCTTACATTCACATTCATCAGGACATACTGATATGCATCAATAAAATGTAGAAATTTATTAAATTTCAATTTTACATTTAATTTATAAAATCAACTATACTAAATTGGCAATTTTATAAGTAACGAGTTTTACCTTGAATTTTTAACAAGAACCTTTAACAATGACAACTTTAACAATCAAATTTCTCGATTTTCGTCCACCATATTGGATGAGCAATTTTAAATTTACAAAACCTAACCTTAGATTTGTAATAAGCGACCCTAAAAACTGTTCCACGGAAAGTTTCAAGGAAATTGTATTAAAAATATATTTTATGAAGAATCTTTTTTCTAATAATTTTTTTAATCATTATGACAAATTGTAATTGTTTATAGTATTATGCCATAGCCTATAGTTTTTTAGTATACTTAGTCTTATCATCTATAGAATAATTAAAAAAATCATGGTGATATCTGTATCCTGTCTCAAAATTTACGATCTTTATACAAAAAAAAGAAAATTCGCTCACCGTATGCCGCATGTATCTACCCGTGGTCTGCAGCTGTTATGACCAGTGCAGTGGTAACAGTTTGGGGCATCTACTATTTCAGTGCTATTGCAGCGTTCATGAGCTTAGTGTTCTTAATTCTTAACACTTTCGTTTCTTACTAATACTCTCATTTCGGCCTTTTTTAGATTAAATACATATCTTATGCTAGTATAAAATTGCAGGAACAAAATTCAGAAACGTAATACTACTTGTTGTATTTATATTCATAACCCATATAGGGAGCGTTCGGTTGTTAAGTTTGTTAGGGCCGGTTGTTTAGTTCCCTAATTTTTATTTGTAAACAAAAGTCGTACCAAGTAAACACACAAATAAAGCGATAAACAGATGAAATAATCGAAACAATCGAACGATGGAAATCGAGCGTACCTGTAAGCTAAGATGGTAAAACAAGGGAACTCTTTTTACGATAAAAGCAAAAAGAACAAGCATAAGTATAACATTAGTTAATACATCTACATAGCAAAAACACAGAAAAAACAGCGCGTTGTTCCTAACGTAACCTAACCTGACCTATACTTTATAGACATATTACTCAATGTTATTTTCATTTTCATTTCTATTTATGTCCCTGTTTATTTTATCATGAAAATGGCCTTACATGTTCAAAGTTTTAATCTCTCTATAATACTGTATACTTAAAATTATATTCTATTCAACCATGTAGCTTTTTGTTTACTATTCTAAAGTAGTATGTTGACAATAAAGCGGAATTTTGTTCTTTTTTTCCAAAATGTCCATTTTCAAGAAGTAACTCTACTAGGTTTTACTTGTGGCTCAATAAAAAATCCTACGACCTTTCGTTACGTAGACGGAAGCCAGTAGTGGCATCTAAGCAAACAGCTTAATTTTTGAGACAATATTTGAAAAATATGCATATTCCTTTGCTATTTTTAGAACAATTTTTGACTAGAGTCAAATTTTTGACTAGAGAGACTAGAGTTTTGCGATGTTGATAAATGCATTACTCATAACTAATCAGAATAGATCCGGTACATGAAGAACCCCCAAATAAAGTACCAAAATTACACGATAAAAAAATGTTGAAAATGCCAATATTGGCTACGTAAAGATAGAGAATAAGGAAAAACGATAAGAACGAATGAAGAGGCTGAACAGTTTTTTCAAATTGTATAGTTTTTCAATTTAGTCAGAACAAAGTGTTTGTAACAACTGCTATGTAAACCTCAGACTATCACATAGTAAACTAAGTTAAGATCAAAGTTCAGAAGAGCAGAATTTCGTCCTTAGCATATAATCTGCAAAAACAAATTACTTCACCGCAAGAACAAAATTATTAAAAAAATCAATCTTAAGTTTTGTATCAAGTAACAATCTATGAAGATAAAGCAATAGCATCAGACTATCTGATTCAGAAGAAAAAGAATATGTAAATATGCCATTTGAGAGAATGACTTTTTTAACAGCAGGTTGTTTCTTGTGTGAACCAAAAATAAATATCATCGATGTACCGATTAAAGCTCGTCTTCCGGTATTCATAAAAAGACACTTGTTCACTCCCAAAAAAATCGATGATAGGGTGTACATCTGATAAAGAAAAGTTTAAAAAAAATTTAATACCTATTATGATAGTCTTTTTAACAGAAACAAAAATATTCTATCAAAGAAACGTGTCAAAGCTTTTATTCGATACTTATGTAATCCTATTTTTACAATTCAAGATAAACTAACATCAATAAAAATATCCTATGACTTATATTATTACCCAATATTTCGTGATATTTTTATTTGAATTACGATCTGAAAACTCCAATACATTGATAGCTGCTACTTTAGAAATAATGGAACAGGTTGTTGAGAACTCAATCAATTTGATTTTAAAGTGCTTCAGAGAACACATGCTTCCGGAAAACTTCGGCATCGGTGCTTGTGATAGAGAATTGTGGTTGCAAGAATAGGTCAAAGCTGTTGAATTATTGTATGGTCTTAACGATAATTTGCTCATAATCTGTGACGGTACGTATTTAATACACGAAAAAAGTTTAAATAATAACTACCACAGAAAGTCATTTTTTAGTTAACAAAAAATGTATTATGTAAGCTATTTACAATCACTATGACCAATAGATTTATCATTGATCCTGCAGAACCATTTAAAAGAATTTTTCTCGACGATGAAATTCTTAAACACATATTGCCAGATCCAAATAGACTTATAGGCATTTTTTAAAAAGTGATGTTTTCCTTTCAAACCATAGATTTAGGGACGTTGTAGGTTTCTTAGAAAAAAGGGGGTTTTAAATGGCTGAGACCTACTTTAAAAGAAAAAAGAAATCAACTTACGACAGAAGAGTCAAATAAATCAAGATTTGTTACAAAACTTCGATGGGTTGTACAGGTTGTACATGAAATGATTGCACAAAAAAAAAATCTCACACTATCAATTTAGAAACCAAGCCCTTCCAGATGCTGAAATATATTGTAGAACAGCATCTAACATTTAAAATGTTATTTGTAAAAGACTGATCGTGATAAATTAAAAGTGATTATTAAAATAAGGCAGACACAAAAAAATGTAACAAATTATCTAGCTACAAGAACGCCAGACGCTAACTATGATAAAAAAAATCGGCACCATTTAAAAAAAAATCATTTCAAATAATTTGCTTGACTCCTCAAAATTGACATAACATGATCTAAAACTTTTTTTGACAAGATCTTACTAATTTAAACAGCTATTTCATATTTAGGTAAAATGCTCGATAAACAGAATACAATTTCGATTAGTTCAAGAAAGTCATGGACGACCTTAATATTATAAGATTTAACATGAGGTCGAGACATATCAATAGTTAAACTTACAAATGTTACTTCTATTGCAATCCTACTGATACAGGAATAGGTGCAATGAAAGGGTATTTCAGTAATTGTGCTAATAGTTTACAGACGGCTGGCTGTTTCTCACATGTTGCTGTATTGGTACATCATTTATCTTATGGCAGGTACTTATCTGACCATCCGACCAGTCGGGGTAATGAAAAATCTCTTTGATATCAATAATAACTGCCCTATAGGATGAGGACCACGTTGTTGAAAAAAAAAAAAAAATACATTTATAAAAAAAAAGTCAGAGACCTGTAACGACAAAAAATTAAAAATAAAAGTCCGACGAAAATCCGCTTGAACATTACTTAATTTACTACACCCATGAATTTTTTCAGAATTTTTTATACGGTGGATAAAAAGTGATAGTGAATAAATACATTTACACTATTTTGGAGGCTAAATAACTTTTTTTTTTTATACATCACACTATGCAGCAATTAAAAAAATATTTAAAAAATTGTATTTTTTTCCGCTCTACTTCTAGGGGTCGTAGGTTCGATTCCCGGTAAATGTAAATAAAATCGTAGAGCATTTTACCTTCAATAACCGAGGATACTCTTTGTAAAAAAATAGCAGATGTTTAGCTATAAGTAAGCGGAAGCACTATTTTAAAAAATAAAAAAGTGACATGGTTCTATACGAGGGTAGAAAACTACGATGGTTAAACAAATAGTGATAAAATCAGCTGTAAATCATTCTTTCAAACATTTTAACAGGATGCTGAAATTAAGCTGATTTTAAAATTTTTCAGACCAGTAGAATCTAAATTAGAAGATCACAGAAATTTTTTTGCATTATGCAAATAAGCTTCGAAAAACAGTTGATCCTTAAGACTTGAATAGTTAAAAAGCGATAACTTTAAGATCATGTACACTTGTTTACATCAATAGGTGCAAAACTTTCTTAAAATTTAAAGATTACAGATGATTTGCATTTCAAGTTATTAAATGTTAAATAAAATGCCCTTTTTAACTATGAACGCTATTTGCGAGTGATGAATAATATTTAAAGTTTCGCTATGCGTATTATTTCATATACAATTTAATTCTCTACAAATTTCCTTTTACCTAATTGTACTGATTTTCGCCTCAGAGAGAAGATATTACCAAAATACTAGAAAAAAACACAAGTTTCTTACTTTATTGTTGATAAAAAAAATAAAGCAGGGGGTTAGTTTCTTAGCAAACTTGGGACATTGTTACATGCACGTAAACTGATTACGCAGTAATACTACTACCGATACGCACTTGACGTCTAGGCTAAAGTGCGAAAACAGTTGTACATGGCAAAAGAATCAAAGTAGCCTTAAAAGAGCTAGGGCAAAGTATATATCTAATAAATTAGGTACTAATAATGCCATACTAGTATTCAAGTAACACGAAAAGAATCTAAGAAAAAACATACACACACAAATACATACATACAAACATACATGCATACATACATGTTTCGGTAATTTAAAATACAAGTAAGATGACTAACTTTTGTTTTTTTGGCATCTCGAATGATCTCTTTGTTAGGGTCATTTACTCCAAGTGGCTCTTTGAAAAATGTAAAATTGTCAATTGTTAATTCACTAGCTGTAACTACAAAAATTAAAATTATATTTTTGTGTATCTCAAGAACTTGCAAAGACAAAATTTCATGTACTTACGAAACTCGATGACTTCTCTGTAACTGCGAACTTTTTTTCCTTCAGGAGTATAGTAGTAAATATCAGCCATTCGCCGTGTCTGATTTTCCGATGTTCCAGCTCTATAAACTAACTCACGTTTCCATCCGTGGTTAAATGGCTCTTTGTACAAAGGATTGGTAACATCTACAGATACTTTTTGACGAGTCACAGTACTGGGGCTGACCACTCGAGATACTTTATTTTTTCTTACACGATGGTAGTACATGGAAGCGTTATCTTCGAAATCATCTATTTTACAAGATGGTTTATTAAGTGCCGAATCAGAAGTATTTGATTCAATAGTCGCTGTGTGATCGTCAGAATCGGTCGTATTATCGTCAACTTCTTCCATAAAGTTATCGGTAGTCTTCCATAAAACCATGGATGTTTTATGACGTTTTAAAGATAAATTGTTCATCATTTCAGCTTCGTCTGAAACAATTATAGTAAAAATGAACTATGGACTCAAAACATTACGTATAACGCCTGTGGAATTTCAGGTAAATTTTTTTTCGTTTAATAAATACGAACATGATTTTCTTGGATGAACATATTACTAAGCAGTCTTAATTTACAAATAAAATCATCTCATGCCATAAACTTTATATTTATTACTTCAAAACACCCAGCTACGTTTTAAAATTGTAAGAATCCAGTGCTTAGAGATTTCAACACATTGAGCTTTCTATTTGCTTCTGCAATCACGTAACCTATAACTGACTTTATTTAAAAAAGGCTGCCGTTACAAAACGCAAACTACGCTTGCAATTTTCAAAAAATCGATTTAAGTGCTTACCTTACAACGTCAATTTGCAGTAACATACGCATGAATATGAACAATCAGCAATTACAATATTCATTATTACGTATGATCTATAATGAATATTGTACACATTTTGACATCAAGTATTAACGTGTAAGAAGTAACAAATTAGTCATTTTAACCATCAATCGTTGCATACTTATAGCACCACCATTTTTCTTGTGTCAGGTTGGGGTTTTAAACGACGAATCAGAGCTTAACCTGATTATTTAAATAAGAGTATAAATACTCTCTGCACGTACCAAATAACAACTTTTTTCTTTTAGTAAGTGCTCTAAAGTAACTATAAATGTTAAAGAGTAAGTTGAGTTGTGTCTTCGAAGTACATGTAAGTCTTAGTTCGGTAACTTAGCTAAGCTAAGTAAGAAAAATCCAAGCAACCTAGGCTACTATAAACTCATCTAAAAAAAAAAAAAAAAAAAAAAAAAAACCAAGAAAGAAAGGACCATCAATTTGAGTTTTAACGGCAAAAACAGGAGTTAAAGTTAGGAAAAACTTATTAAGAATAGTGTAAGTGCAAATCAAAATTTTATTATTTTTATTCTCATCAAATTCAAACTACCTGCTTCATGAAATTTATTAAATCAGGAAAGACATAACTTAGTTAATAATTAGATTTCGTGTCCAAAGTAAAATTTTTGAAAAAAAAGCGGCGTTAACTCAGTGGTAAGCATGCTTGTTACTGATACAACGCTGTTCTAGGGGTCGTAGGTTCGATTCCCGGTAAATGCAGATTTTTTCAAAAACTGTTTTCATCGAGAAAAGTTCCTATGTAACCCCAGCGGTTTCAGGGAGGGTTTTTCAGAGGAATTTTCCTTCAGAGTAATTCCAGGATTTTTCCCTTGCCCCACAGGTCTTCGGGCCTAAGTAAATGGAAAACAGTATTAAGGCTATAGGTAGGGATTAGCGGATCTAATGCGCCAGGCGAGGATCGCCGGCCTTACCGGCGAGGAGTGGTTCCTGAAACATGGGGCTTCTCCTGGGATGCTAATTAGCCTGGATCCAATGCTTCGGCAGAGAGAGCACAAGCTGAATCAGCGAGAAGTGGACGTCCTGAAATATGGAGTCTTCTCCGGGGAAAGGCTTCACAGTGGCGAGTGGACCCGATGCACCGTTGGTGCAGAGAGTGTCAGCTTAACTGGCAAGGTGTTTCACCGGAGATACTCACACTGTGCTCATGGATTAGGTATGATATAAGTAAAGAGTTAGGAAATGGGTGCGGCAATACACCCCTAAAAATAGGTGGTGGGTGGGTGGTCATTGCGACTAAGTCAGTAGGCTGTCACGGTGACCCAGCAAAAAAAAAAATAATAAAATTTTTGAAATGAAAAATTTTAATAAATAGAAGAAAAGCTTAAGCTGTATTTAATAAATTTAATACAGAGCCCAAACAAAAGACTCAAGTATGACAAAGACGTTTACAAGGACGAAAAATAAAAGGAAAATCAGAATACGCAACTACTGCATTACACCAGGCAGATATTTAATCAAAAAGAAACACATCAGCTCGCCGTACAACGCATTAATACTACTCCAAATATATCAGTCAGTGAAACATAACATCATAAATTTGAGTCAACATATTAAAAAAGAAAGCGTACTGCAAATGAGAGCAAATGCCTTCGGGCCAACGAATCGTGAGGAATAAAAATTGAATTCATTTGGTGAGAAATGAAATCCAAGAGTTCCGTCCTACATTTAGAATTTAGTACAAAACAAGGTTATTCATGAATGTAAGAACGGTACCTGTCCTTTCACAGCATGTGCATAAAAATAGCGTTTCAGTATTAAGTGATTTATACTTTTTTCAGGTAAATAAGATTGTCTTGTATTTGCAACTGATTATAATATTTATTTGAGATACTAATAAAATAAAATAAATTGTCATTAGCATCACATAATCCGATTCTTTTTGCTAATGAATATTTATAGTCTTAGACCGTAAATTGATTAACTTTTATTAAATTAAAAACCGTTACCTTAATGATTACCAGAGGTGGAATCTTCTCTTAACAAATTAAAAAACCAGATAGTTGAACAATCAATTCATGTAATACATTAATAACTATGTGTAACGCATCTTTTGCTTATCATATACCCAATAAAGAGTACTGGATTACCGCGAAGCTTACGGGCCTAGTCACCAGGCACCCACTTATCACCTTTGTGTAAGGGTGTATTGCCGCTTCCATTAACCAATCTTCTATTAATATTCCTATCACACCATCGGTACAGTAGAAATATCTCCGGAGAGGCACCTTGCTAGTTAAGCTGGCACTCTCTACACCAATGAAGCATCGGGTCTTCTTATCACTGTGTAGCCTTTCTGCGGAGAAGATTACGTAATTCAGGACCTCCACTCCTCACCGGTTAAGCCAGCGCTCTCTGCTGAAGCATTAGGACCAGGCTAATTAGAATTCCTAGAGAAGCTCTATATTTCGTTGACCATACCTCGCCAGTATGGCTAGCACTATCTGCCCAGCACCTGACATCGAATTTTCTAATCCCTACCTATAGCCCAAACACTATTCGACTTTCACCCACGTCTGAAGACCTATGAGGCAAGAAAAAAACTCTGTAATCACTCTGAAGGAAAATTTCACCAAAAAACCCGCCTCGAAACAGTTGGAATTTCATAGGAACTTTTTCTAATGAAAATAGTTTTTGAAAAAATCTGTATTAACCGGGAATCGAACTCATGACCCATGACCCATAGAACGGTGTTGTTTCAGTCTTAAGCACGCTTACTACTGAGGTAGCAACGCTTCTCATGAGGTGGATCTTAGTTTAAACATAAACGTACGTGCAAATACAGATTACAAAGAGTTTATAAAAACTTTTTTCGGATTTGTATCAAGTTTGCATTTATTGAGGATGTGATTGGCAAGAATACTGGGTTGGGAAAAAATATATTGTGGTTTTTTCCAATAAATGATTGTGAAAATAACACTAGCAAAATTCGTGTATTCAGGCAATAGTTATTGCGCTTTGAAAATAGAGATTCCAGATGGTCATTTTTGTCATATTCTACTTTTTTACTTCCGAAAAGGAAAAAAATGCGGCGCAGGCTCTTCAAAAATTGTGTAGTGTTTATGGTGATGAAAGCTTGAGTAAACACTAGTGTTAGAATTAGTTTGCTTGATTTCGTTCTGGAAATTTCGATGTTAGAGATAAACCTCATCCTGGTCGGTCAATCGTTTGAAAAGTTGATGAAATTTTTCAAAAAATTGAGGTAGACCGATGTATTTTATCTCGCAACATAGCTATGGCACTAAAAATCGACCATAAAACAATTTTACAGACCATAAAACATTTACATAAGGCTGGATACCAAAAAAAGCTTGATACTTGGATTCCACATGAATTAACAAGAAAAATTTAATGGACCAAGTTTCCATTTGTAAATCGCTCCTTAAACGAAATGAACTCGAGCCAATTTTAAAACAAATGATTACAAGTGGTGAAAAGTGGATTATGCACGATATTTATGTGCCAAAAAGATCATAGTCAAAGCTCGACGAAGCTTCACAGACGGTTGCAAAGCCTGTATTGACGCCAAGGAAGGTATTGCTGAGTGTTTGGTAGGACATGGAAAGAACTGTTCATCGTGAGCTGCTAAATTTTGGTTAAAAAACTAATTCGATGCTCTACTGTCAATAACTAATGCAATTGCAGCAGGCGGTGAAAAAAAAGGCCAGAATTGATCAATCGGAAATGCGTTGTCTTATATCATGACAATGCTAGCCTACACAAATCGTTAGTGACTTAGTTAAAATTAAGAGAGCTTGACTGGAGGATTTTAATGCATCCACCGTATAGCCCAGACTTTGCCCCGCCCGACTACCATTTGTTTTGGTCTCTGCAGAACTCTCTTAGCAGTGTCAAGATGTAAAGTTGGCTTCAAAAAAGGCTTATAAAAATCACTTGGTTCAATTTTTTGCCCAAAAACCTCAGAATTTCATAGTGACGGAAATGTGGTTCATGCAGAAAACTGGCAAAAAGTTATTGATACAACGATACACATACCGTTGAATAGTGTTTGAAATTTACATGACTAAATTCGCTTTACAAAACATGAAAAAAAATCGAAATTTCTTTTTCCCCAACCCAATGTATTTAATATATTCAATTATTTAACTATTTGTTTCATTAATTTCCTGTTTATATTTTCAATACTTTTTAATTACCAGCCAAAGTTACCACTAGCTATAATGAAATGACGCACTATATGCATTGATTGGTGGGAAATCTAAAATGAAAGGCCGCAAGATCTAGCCTCCAGATTGGCTGTTTGGCCTACTGATGGCTAATAAGCGTACCTAGTAAATAACTACACCATGTTTTTTTTAACACACTATATGTTAAGGTAAAACATATAAGTCAATAATCTACTCTGTGATTGTGAAGTAGATTTGCCTAAATATAAATCTCCATTTTATAGACTTTTTGTAAAGTACCAAATTATATTAAGCACATCTGGCTTTGTATTTTTTATTATTATGTGGGCAAAAGGGGACCAATTTTATTTTATTAACTTGATGACAGAAACAATTTATCATATCAACTTTAAATTTTAACTTCTCCAACCACTGTTCTCTTGAAGAGCCAAATAAATCCACTCTTTA